ATTAACATATTAATGTTTTGGCTAGTTGGTGGATCGACGCAGTAGTTGGCGGCTGTGGCGCACTGATCTAGCCACCAACGCGGTTAGCTATAGTCGAAATATATATTTATGTATACATATATGTAGATATAGTTAAATCGTTGACTACGTAGATCGCCGACTTTTGGCGCTGATTTCATCTGGCGCTGCGGATTGAGCCGGGGATTCTGTGGAAGAGCACGTCGCTTCGGTGCTTGTAAAAATTAAAATTTATGCATGCCAATGGAGCATTTAAAGCGACATTTGTCCGCTGCGCTCATAACTCATGTGCGACTCGAGCAGTCAGCGCCATCGCCATCGCCATTGCCTGCGCCTGACCGACTCACACGCTCGGCTGCTCGGACTCTCGATCGGGCGCGTTTGCCGGGCCATTAGACCGGGCCGTGATCTGCTGGTGTTGCCAACCATTCGAAAACTGTTGATTTGGGTCACAATTAATTGGCTCTCGAGCGCCATAAATATAGCCTCGAACGTGGTAATCACAACAAAGGGCACAGCCGCAACGGAGCAGCTGAGCAACTGAGTGGCTGAGCCACTGTGGAACTGGACTGGAGTGTTGCTCTGACCTAGCCACGCACACATGCTAATTATTATAGCGCCATGGCATTTGTTTAATGCCAACCTGTTGCTCCTAAATAAACTAAGAATGTAGAAATTGCAAGTGATTATTAGGTGACTAAAAGTGAGAGCAACTGATATGATATGACTACTTTTACTACTGCAAACTTATATTTAAGTTAGAATAGAACATTAAATTTTAAAATAAATATTTAATTATAATAGTCAACCCTTAATTTTATTCTAAAATGTTTGCCAGAGTTCCGAATTGATTCTGTTAAATCTTTTATGTACAAAATATGATCTCAATTATTAAGAAAGAAAATAATGTAATAAATATAAAACACAATTTAAGTAATGAAACTTGCTTTACGAATCAATTTCTTAAACAGCTTAAGTGTGGCTCTGATGTAAAAGGTACACACAACTAATTTATAAAACATAAACAAAATATATTAAATATTAAACTATTAAATATATACAAATTGTAAGGTACAAGGCAACATAATAGATTTATAAAACATTGAAAGAAAAAAAAAATAATAATAATAATAATATATATATAAAAACTTTCAAATTTGTATTTATAAATTGTGATGTAATAAGCATTCAAAATAAATTTAATTTGTATTATGTAAAATTATAGATATTAAACTATTAAATATTTATATAATAATAATATTTTATATTAATAAAAAATTATAAAAAGTATAAAAAATATTGTACATTAATTTTAAATAATTGAATATATATAAATTGATATTTAAATACTACACAAAATATATTTATAAAATATTTTAAAACTATCAAATATTAAATCAGTAAAAAATTTAACTAATCTATTCAAATTTACTAAATCCTAAAAAAAAAAATTGTGTAAGCCGCACATAATTCTAAATACATAAAAATACAATTCATTATTTTAAAAGAATAACTCGCAGCCAATATTGAAAACAAATTATTCTTATATAGGTGTCAAAGTGTAAATTACTTTTGTTTGTTAATTATTTTACAGGTTAGTTTTGTTTAATATTTATATATTTTTGTTTACTGGAATAGGACGAGACTGAGGTTGATAATGTTTTAATGTTAAAAGCTGTTTTGAAATCATTCTTAAGTTCTAGGATGATACTTTCTTATTATTTTGCGTTTTTCAGCAAAGGCTACTTGAAATATATAAAATACGATTCTAAACTAAGAATAGCTTTGAATAACCTAAGCCGAGTGTGCTGAATTATTGCACTGTCTTAAATCACATTGAAAATTTACTGCAATGCATTTTAGACTCTTCCTTCTTCCTTGGCCAGCTCATATTCAAATAATTCGCTTAGATAAGCCATCTTTATTTTAAATTGCGATTAGGTTGCTTACCATTCAAGTTGACTTTATAATAGCTCAATTTTTTCGTCATGGTAAAAGTTAATTTAAAGCCGTGCCACATCCAAGATCAGCGAGCTCTGCTGCTTGTGTTTATCTTAGACATAAGGATAATGTAATTTAATCCCTTCCAGTTAACGGCCGAGCCGCACACATTTCGTAGCATGCACAGTCATTTGCGAATCGAAGTGGTGGTAGGCGGATGGGCAGTAAACGTGGATTAAGGATACGGCAGCGTCGCAGAAAGGATAATTCGCCAACCGACAATGCTGAGACAAAGGTGTTTTGTTTTTATGACTTTGTAACTCCTTCGCCCGGTAGACGGCGAGCGACGATCCTTCTGAGGCGGCTGCGTTAGCGTCTGCTCGTGTTTGCGAAAGGATAATTTTACGATCGTTATTCGCGCAGGCAGAGGCTGAGACGGAGGCAGGTACCATGTCCAGCTAAGTGGACACAATAGAACGCCTATTCGCACTGCGAATCCGATGGCCAAAAGGAGTGACCAACCAGTTCTGCACAATTGTTTTGCCAAAGGCGGGCTTTATTTTGACTATTTAAAGGATTACGCTAAAGGATTGACTTTGCAACCTTGACTGCCGCCTCGTCTGTATCGTCAGACATTGCTCACGCCCAAAATGAAGTTTTCCGCGAATCTTGATCTTGCCAATCCGTCCGAGTGCGGGTTTTATGGTTCGCGAATGAGTTAAAAGCGACCTTTGGGTTTTCAATAAAGCGAATGGCATCGCAAAACTCTTCGTTTCCCCGAAGGACGTCGAAGAGTTAACGTAACTCTTTCGCAACTTGCACGTAAACCTTTTACCACTCACCCAGAAGTTGTAAAAAACAAACAATCAACAAAACTGACTCCTAGAAATTTTCTACAAAATCCACATCATAATAGCTTTAGACTTAATGTTAGCCAAGACTCTAGGTATATGTGTTATGCTAAGCACTTTTCGTGGGAAATTCGAGTTACTTTTACTATTCCAAAAATATGATGAGAAGTCTTCAAAGTGCTTATTTTTGATTTATTTTGGTATTAACTTAAGATTTAATATTATATTTTAGCTAGATATTAGTTAGATATTACGGTTTACATATACATATTATTCTTATTTTTATTTAATACTTAAAAATAAGTTTCTGGCAACTGGGGCCTTCGGTTTAATATTTATTACTTCTTAACTTATTTATTTACATAGACAAATCGTGTCCAGGTCGAATCATTAATTATGTCAATATGTCTATAAATTAATAAATAAAAATAATTAATAATTAAAAAATTACAATATTTGAATATCCTATATATCAATTATAATTATACTTTAAAATTGTTAATAATTAATAATTATTAATTACACATTAAATATAAACAAAATCTATTTACATATATAATTTATATATATTATCTGTATATTAAATGTATACTATAATTATAGATCACAAATTATATTTTTCGTATTTTTTCTTGAACAATGAGAATGAAAACAGAGATCTAGGCTTATGAATGATAGCATCGTGTTAGCAGAAGATAAATGGAAAATGTTTTTGTAAACCTATATATTAATAATTAAAATAAATTATTTGTTTTCAACTATAAATGAATACCTATAGTAAGATATATACTTTTTAATGACTTTATTATAGTGATGTTAGGTAAATAAATGAATACCTATAGTAAGATATATACTTTTTAATGACTTTATTATAGTGATGTTAGGTAAGGTGTCAAACAAAACTTATCCAATAAATATTTTTAGCATATTTAGTATTAGTAAAAGTATTATATTTTAGTAAAAATAATTTGTTAATAAAATGCAGTTAAGATTATTTCCACACTACAATGATTGTATTACCGTATCCCTTACAGTGAAATCAAAACACGTGGCTTTGCCAGCAACTGGCCGTGCTCGCAGCTCTGGCAACTACCCACTGTCCACTTTGATCTAATGAGTCGTATAAATGCCGCCTGGCAAAGGGCATCGGCACATGGTTCTTGGGTTGTGCTGCCGATAGCTGTCAAGGCGAGCAATGAAAAATGACCAGTCAATGTCTCACTTCAATGGATGAGCAAACAGCGAAAGGCGAAAAGGCGGACAGGCGGAAAGGCTGCGCTCTGCTCTCGCGTGGTGGTGGAAAAGAGCCAAAGCGACCAAAATGTGACACTTTTCCATTGCGAAAATAGTGCATTTTATAGAAAAGTCGAAATCGGGCACGAGGGGAGCAGCAAATTGCAGCTGCTCAAATTTAGAGTCGATATCAAAAACATTTCGATCCATGGGCTTAAGCTGTGCCAATTTCGGGTGGTTGCAAAGGATTCCTAATGATCCAAAAGTTCGACAAACAAAAATTCAGTGATAAATCGATGGGGAAGGAGAAATTATGAAGTGTATGAAAATTTAAAATAAATTATGAGCGAAGTGTAGAAGAATGTCTAGATATTTTTGGAGATTTTATAATTACGTGTTGTAAATAAATATAAATATGGATTTTGCATATAATAATAAATATGGAATAATTCTATATTCAATTTTAAAGTGAAATTAAGACATTTAAGAAATCGATAATTGAGTTTTGCGAAATTTTTATTATTATTTATAATTAATATTTAAAATGTCGAAGGCACTAAAACTCTTTCCGAAATTTTATAAATAATCATTTATGGAATGTATTAAAATATAAAAAATTATGAATGTTGCGTAGAAGAATGGGAAAGACTATATACACATACTATTTAAATATTAAAGAGAAAATAATAGGTCGACTATATTAAAATATTAATTAAAATTAGAAAAATAATTTCTATTCGAGCTCCAATATCTATTATTTATTTATATGAAACACTTTATTAATTCAATTCAATTAATTGATTTCGAATACTTATTATTTGTTTATATGAAATTCTTTTATTAATTCAATAAATGATTATATTTTATTATTGGTTCATTGAGCTATCAAGTTATCAATTAAAAGATTTCTCATGAATAAGAAAACGCCATTTTGTTTAAAGTTAAATTCGATAGATATATTTCAATAAATATTTAATAATCGACTTATATACTAGCTGTACAATAGAAACAAAACATTCATCAGTCTCCAAGTTGAGCTCATGTTGCATTATCGATGCCTGGCCACAGTCCACGGGCTCAATGATAATCGAGCGCTCCAGGCAACTGGCCAAAGGCAGCCGGCAACGGAAAACAGAGGGCAGACAGCAGGCAACGGGTAACCCATGGCCAGCCACTGGGTTTTGAGGTGTCGAGGAGCCGCACATGCGCACTCGTCCTTTTGCCCAAGTACTGGGCACCGTAGGGAGTACGACTGCGACGGCGGCAGCGACGGCAACTGCGACTGCGCAGCATCTCGTTAGACATTTGCGTGTCACCGGCAAATGGTCGAGAATTCGTGGCGCGTTCGTTACGGTTGTGTGCGTGTGTGTGTGGGTCAGAGTGTGTGTGTGTTTGTGTGTGTGCGGGTTCGTTTAGGGCAGATGATACAGCGCCTGGTTGGAGGTGCTCAGCTCTTGTTGCTGTTGTTGTTGTTGCTGGTAGCTGCACTGCTGCTGCGTCTGTTGATGATATTGCGGTGTGTACTGCGCATCGTACGGCTGGGCGAAGTGCAGCGGCGGCGGTGGCGGCGACTGCTGCGGGTAATCATAGCTCTGCTGGGCGGCGGGCAAGTAGGCAGGGTATGCGGCATAGGGCATGACAGCAGCGGGCTGTAGATGCGACTGCGACTGTGGCTGGGTCAGTGGCTGAGGCTGAGGCTGCGGCTGTGGCTGTGACTGTGGCGGCATAGCGGTGGCATCTAACGGTGGCAGGAGCGAGGCATAGCCGGCGGCGGTACAGTGCTCGGGCGAGGCTTCGAGCGTGCGATCTTTCTTGGACTTCATGCGGCGGTTCTGGAACCAGATCTTGATCTGGCGCTCGCTCAGATTGAGCGCATGGGCAATGTCCATTCGTCGACGTCGCGTGATGTAGCGATTGAAGTGGAACTCCTTCTCCAGCTCGAGCGTCTGGTAGCGGGAGTAGGTTTGTCGTGTGCGTTTGGAGTCTTTGCAATCTGCAAGAAACGAAAGAAAAGACAACAGAAAGTAAGTAACAGTTACATTAGAATAGCGAGGGTGTGTGTGTGCGTGAGAGAGAGCGAGAGGGAAAGCGATGCCTACCTGATGCGATGGTCTCCTCAATGTGCGACCAATTGAATTCGTTGCTGGCATTGGCAGCTGTCACAATGCGATGATTGATTTCATTCGACTTCTCGGCCGGCGACTGGGGTGGCGTGCTGATGCCGATGCCGAGGCCGAGGCCGAGGCCATCGACGGGCGTGGTGGCTGCTGGTGGTGGGGTGACAAAGTCGCCATGTTTGGCCGGCTTGCGGGGCGAGTAGACGTCCAGATAGTCGACATCCTCGCCGGTGCTGCGCTGTGGCGACATGTGCGTCTGCTGTGTGGAGGGCGTGGGCACGGCGTAGTCCTGCTCGTAGCAGGGCGACAGCTCGCCGGCGGAGCTGCTCTTGCTGGGCCTCTTCACGTGCTCGATCGTCGTGTAGAAGTAGTCGGGCGTGTACTTCAGCTTCTTGACGGGATTGGTGAGCAGGGCGCGCAGTGTGCTGGGTCGCTCCTCCACGGCGGCGATGATGTCCGCGGCGGATTCCTCTGCCTTGCGCTTACGGCTCTTAGCCGGAGCAGGCGAGCTGGCTTCAACGCTTGGCTCGGCAACTGTGGGCACTTGGTACTGAGGCACTGCATCGAGAGCGGGTAGGCACAATGGCTGCTGCTGCTGTGGCTGCTGTGTCTGCTGTTGCTGCTGATGATGGTAGTTGGCATAGTAGCAGCTCTCACTGTAGCTCTCCTGGCTGTAGTGGGCGTAGCTGCTGGGCTGATAGCTCGCCGGCTGCCAGCTCTGGTTGCTCTGGTAGTAGCTGCTGCTGCTGCTCGTGTTGTCGTAGTATGTGGGTGGCAGGGCATGGTGGTACATGTTGTACATGCTGTCGGCATAGTAGTGTGTGTTGGTGGCTGCCATTGCGTCTGTCTGTTGTCCTGTGAACGAAATGAACGATGTGTGCGCGACGCTGCTGCGTTTGCGAATGAGCTGCTCAGCCCCGTGATCCTGCCTTAATATAGCCGAGCCGAGTCGAGTCGAGCTGCGATGCTGATGTTTGGCACACGCGCTCGTCATAGCGCATAAATATCCCTGCGCATGACACTTTGACACATGCTGCGCGCCCTACCCCTCCGCCAGGACCTTGCCAGATTTATGGCTCGCAGGGGTAGCGCGCAGTTTATCCGGCCCGGCCAAACGAACGTTTATCCGGCACAGTGCGAGCGCTATTCGTCTCTACCTTGGCCTACCTGCTGCGCCTGCTTATTACCTACCCATCGCGCCCATTATCATCGCGAGTTTGCTGCAAGTTATCCGAGCATTTCCCCTGCGCCGAGCCGCGTCCTTGAGATGCCTTGAGACGTGCGCTGGACGTCCCACAGGCGCGTAATTAAGTCGAGCCTCGGGTAGGTGGGCGAGCGGGACAGCGGCTGGTTCGCTGCTTTCCTCTAATTGCAATAATCATAAAGACATAAACAGAACTGTAAACTGTAAACTGTAAACGTTGCTAAAAACGGTTGGCACAAAAGGCTTTTCCTTTTGCCCGTTTAGCAGCAGCAGCAGCAAATTCGTCAAAATTTCTCCGGCCGGCAATGAAGGGAAGCGAAGCTGCTGCCAGTTGTTCCAGGAATCGGCGAGGTATTCGCTGCAGCAAAGGCTCTATCGGTGCTTGATTAGCCCTGGACTTTCAACTGGTTGCGTATATCAAGCAGAAGGCGCAAAGGCTGCGAAAGGATAATATTGCGCGTGCTTCTTACCCATTCCATTCCCATTCCCATTCCCAGACCCATTCGAAGCAGATCCTTTGTTGCGTCGCGTGTTGCGCTTTTTGTTTGCTCGCGAGGGTTTTCCTGCGGCCTGGGCAAGTGCCCCGAAAGAGACTCTTGCGCATATTTGCATAGCCGACCCGTAAGCCGCTCAGCCAAATTGACTGGCCGAAAAGGCGAGTTTACACGACTTTTCTATCCGCTTAGCCGGCAGGAGCAGGAGCAGGAGCAGGAGCAGCGCAGCGCAGCCACCCCCGACTTCGATCGATGGCCCACCCTCTCCGCACCCTTAGCAAGCGGCATCTATAGATTGGCTGGCATATGTGTGCAGTTTGTGCATATGTGTGCATGTGCGAATTGTGCGGCTACCCTCGGCTGCCCCGGCTCCTGCCCCAAACTGCGCTCGGCATTTGCTCTACCTCGCCCATTGTTATTGTTGCTGCGGCGCGCACGTTCGGTGACAGCCGGGCCAAAATTTATGGCGTTTTTCAGCTTGACAGGCCGCCGCACGGACGAACGCGACCCACGACCCACGACAACCCACTTTCTATAAACACTCTCTGAGCTATAGATATATCGGATATCGATGTTGGCAACAGTTACTCAAACAAAACATTTGCTGTAAAAGCGAATTCGGGCTGAGCTGTAAGAAATATATGTATAGGGCATACGAGTGTGATTATTCTGTATAAACTGACTAAAATTTATGACTAAGCCGAAGGCCTTAACAGCCAGCGCTTTAGTTTTTAAGTTAGCTAAGTTAAATCAAATATGACTCTACGAAGTAAATATGTATATCTGAATAATACAACTTTTAGGCTAAGATAATACTTTCGACTAATACAAATATTATTTATAATTATTATAGAGAAGTTTAGGCATTAGCAAGTTATTTTATGCAGCTTACAGAGTAAAGTATGTGTGTCTTATATATAAAGGAGTCTTTTTATTCTTCTAAGTGCTCCCGATCAAAGGCTGAGCATTAGCATAAAATTATTTACTTAACTGACTTTAGAGCCCAAATAATATTTATACTACTCAGCGTGTCTATAAAGAAAAATATATATTGTATAACCAGCTTTATTATATTTCGTGCATTTGGGACTCAAACAAATATATAAACGTCTGTTTTTCGCTTAGGTCTAAAAGTTTGACTCAATTTACTTCAGCAATTGATCAGATCAAATCATTATTTAGCTATATTTCACATATTTATTGCATCAGGTGGAGTTTAAATTGACAGCCACCGCAGACACTCAACGCTTCGTTTCTGGGCGATTGAGTTTTATCACTCACTCAACTGATTTTATAATCCCAATGAAATACTTGGAAAAACGAAACGATATGCGGACAAAATCTGAGCCGAAGTCAAGTTTCGGTAACAATAATTGAGTTGTAAGGCCCACATGCGAATGCTCCGACCACAACACACCCCGTTGCCCGTTCGCCAGGGGACGAGCGTTTCGTGCGTTTTTATTACCGAATTAATAAATTACCTTGACAGTGGAATCGGGTCCATCCCATTGTGCGAGCGTGCCGCATCGTCTACCCCATCCTTCACTCTGCCTGCTGCCTCCTGCCTGCTGCCTTCTGCATTCCAAGCCAAGGATCATCCCCTTGCTGTTTCATGAGGGTAACATCCGAGATCTGGCAAATGCTGGACACTGGAGTTTGGGAGTTTTCATCAATGCTCTGGAAGGTGAAACAGGCACGCGCCTGAAGTAGGCGAATGTGTTAATACCGAGCGACGAGCTGTTAATATCATCAGCTGCTCCCAGGGCAACTTTTATCATAATCATATAATCCCGATGATAATGAAGAAACATCCATAAGTATGCGCAGCTTCGGTCTATATGAGTATGATTTCAATTTGGATTTCTTTAAACTTCAAAGGATTTCACTTAATATTACAAATTGCCATTGGAAATTCGGTTTTTCCCCTCTGTGCTGGGGCATTACATAACATAAGTATCGCTTAAGATACTCCAAATCGTGCGATTGTTTGTTTGTTTATTTCTGCTCTTCGCTGGCTTCGTTTACCCGGCCGAGGGTCACACGCTGTGTCTTTGAAGTTGGCTGGCTGAGTCTCAAGTCTCCTCTGGGAGTCGCAGATAGCCCATTGCTCAATACGCCGTCCCCAAACGCTAATTGTGCGGCAACAACAACAGCGGCAATCGACAACATCGCCACTCATTATCAGACCGAAACATGGGACGTCAAGCTGCGTATAAAATCAAAATAGCTGAGAGAGAAATGATCAACAGCAACAAGAAAACAAACAAGACAAGGCATGATCTATTTTACGGAATGACGAAATATAGATACTCTTTTTTACAGTCGAAATGAAAGTAAATGTCCAAGGAAATAACTGAAATAAAAAAAAAATACCAAGAGATAACGAAATTTGAAAGATCAAAGTGAAAGTTCTGTATTAAAAGTTTTAGCCTGAAAGACAGCCCCAAAATAATGTAGATTTTGGTATTTATCTATGAATTCAATAATTCTTTAGTTTTTCAAGTAAAATATTCCATTTAAAACCAACATAACTTTTTTTTTTTTTTTTTTTTTTTTTTTGGAAAAATTGATTTTTGTATAGCTATAAACCCGCTCAAATGCCACAAACTCCATGACTTAGTGATAATAGCCTAACGCATGATCATATACATAGGAAACAAAGCACTTGAGGTGTTTTTTTTTTTTTTTTAAAGTCAGTTTTATATATAGTATAAGCGTCAGAGCGTCTAATCGGAACGCAGCGTGAGTCTTTCGCCGTATACCATACCGCCCCGATTCGAATGCCAATCGAAATTCTCCAGCCAATCCTCGGCCGTTGAAATGCCATCAATGTGATTGCCTCAATCGCTGCCTAATTTGTGAAAAGCGCGAGGGCGAGAGAGAAAATTATTCAAAATGTTGTTTGATTTACCAATTAAGATGCACACGTCTCGATTTGGGCTGTGAATAAATTCATTCCTACTCGAGCCCAGGCACTGCAGGTGCTGGCAGATGAAGCAATTTTCAGCTTTGGCTACTCGCCTGCCGCATTCGGCATGCCTCAGTCGGCGGCAGGACAATTTCACTGACCTTGATGCTGCCAAAGTCCAGTCGAGGCCATTCGAGTCGTTGCTGAATGAGCGAATAGGAAAAGCCAGCGTGGGTGAGCTGGCCTTGGATAATCACGGACGATCAGAGCTCGGCACCAATCGAAGTCAAGGCAACTGCTAAGGACCTCTCCTGTGTCCTGTATGCTGTGCTCCTTTTAGCGCTCTGTGTGTACAAACATTCGCTCAATGCGTCACGCGTCGCCTTCGTCCTTGGCTAGTCGTCTTCGCCTTCGGCGTTCCCATCGTCGTCGTCGTTGTCGTTGTCGGCTTCTGTTCTCTTTATTCGGCTGTCGTTAGGATATTTCAGCTCAATGTCATCCTGCCTGCAATGTCATCCTCCAGTGAGTGTTTGCGTTCGTGTTGACATTTCCCTGGCGCATTAATTGCTTCTGTCACACTTATTCGCATTGTTTCGCACTCTCCATAATGAGGTGCTCGTAAAGTCCTTGCATTGGAATGAATTATGCATTTACAGTGAGCCATCGCTTTGTTCTTTTTTATGGCCACACATGAATTGTGCGACAATCTTTCGACAATGTTAACACCTTCTGTGTGGCGATAAACTCAATGCTACGATATATTGATACATATGTATATACACACCCGATTCCAGAAGAGAATAAACACATTTCCATTATTTATCCGCAAATGAATTGCATATTTATTTTCTGTACGTTGAAATCAACAAATTTGTGAATCACTTCCAAAATATTCCTGCAGGTCTAAATTTGATTCGTTCACGACGGGAACTATATAAAAATAAAATATTGCTAGTAAATGTTGTTAAAGCAAAATTTACTATTATCTACTATTGCCCTTATATTTACTTATTATATATCCTAAACCCATTAAAAATGGGAAATCAGGGCAAAATTTTAATAAAATAGTATTTATGAGTCTTTGAATAGTTTATACCTCGAATGTCTAGCTATATATTTAATTTTGAACGATTTTAATAAATGTCATTTTTGCCAAGATGCGAGTGATATTTTACTTTTGCATATTTTACATTTAGGCGACTATTGACGCAAATCTAAAACTTATTTATTTATTTTTGTATAAGACTTTAACTCATTTAACATGAAACTTTAAAACCTTTTAGACAAAAAATGCTTTTTTTTTTTTTTTTGTGTAAGTGTGTTT